TCGCGATGTGATCAATCTGAGTCCAGGCTTGGGATGCAGAGGGAGGACGCCAGGTGGCACATCGGCGATGACTGTGCCGAAAGTTAGTGCTAGCCAAAAACAGGTTATGGTCTGTGCAGAGTTGCAGTAGACGGTCCCCGTTATCTGACCTGCGACCAACGAGTCCCCATCGGCCACCTAAACGACTCTCTTCTGTGCCTAGACGCCCGATATGAGCATTCAAGTCTCCGGCTAGTACTATAATATCTGTCGAACGCACTTTCCGGAGAAGAACAGATAACTGGTGGTAAAACTCATCCTTGATTGCATCCGGGCTGCAATCTGTCGGGGCATAGGCGGAGATGACGAAAAGACTCACTTTGATGGAACTTTCTAATCTAACAGCACATAACCGACTGTTAATGGGGATCCAATCGATTAGTGCTGCCTCAGCTCTAGCGCTTAGTGCGATACCAACGCCAGCGAGACCCGACGAAGATGCCACAGGGTCCCCGGACAAGCGCACGTAAAACAAGTTTTTCGAAGCGACAGGTGAAGGGCGAGTACTTCACCAGAGTCTTGAATACGGGTCTCGGATAAACAACAAACATCAAAATTAAGACTTTCCAAAGACATAGCCAGCCCTATCTGTTGTCCGACCTGCATAAATGTGCGAACGTTGAAGGCAGCCAGTTTGAATGATGCACGTGGTTTCAGAAAAACTGCTTCAGTCCTCGTATTCGGTGGTAACATACAATTTTCAACCGGACAGTGGCTCGAGAACTTTTAGATACAGTCGAATTCCCACCACAGGCGAGCCGCTGTATAAGTATAAAAGAGGGTGAATAATGTGGTAAATAACAATAATAATAACAATGATAGTAATAATAATAATAATAGTACTAATAATGACAATAATAGTAATGATAATTATTTGAATCGACCGATTGTTTTTCGGAGCGAGAAAAGTGGTTGCCATAGACATAGAGTTCATCGTTTGTGCGTGGGCTGTGATACTGCCCGGGTGCCCAAACCGAAGCAGGTGGTTATCTTAGGGGGCCACTCCCCGAGCCTTTGACCTAAAGGTCTAACCCACAAGGCAGTGGAGCATCGTAAGGAGATGCAATCCCATGGTAGCCGGTGACGAACGATTGGTTCATACGCCATTTGTTCCCCCACGATACTGGTGTCCATGCGCACCATTGGTTTGTGATCCGGTTAAAGAGCCGGACATTCGCTTTTCGTCCTCTAATTTTCGTAAACAACACCCCCGCCACGAGAAGGCAATGAGTAGGACTTCCCTGGCAGAGGCTGTATACGCGTGGTCGTGTGAGAGTATTTCGAGAGGGAGAGTGGACTCTCCACACTCTCGGCCGTATCAGGGCATTCGGGGGCGAGGTTATGTATAGACAATGTGCTATTTTTGCTTTTTTGATAAATCAATTTCCGACGTCTTGTGACTAAAGTGCCAATCATAATTCTCATCTAGAAGTGTGACTGAAAGGTTTTGCAAAATCTTCAAAGTGATGTATAGAAACAGCTGAGGCAAAGCGAGAACCGTATTGGACTGGTTAAAGGCCAACTTGCACGTCATATGTAAACGCGACGAACGGAGAAGCTAGTTCTATTAGTAGAAAACTGAAATGAGTTGAGGATGCTAGGCGAATCTCCGTGTTCGATCATTGTTGTCTCTGAAGGACTGCCGACATTCACTGGCAACACCAATCGGTATCGCCGTGTTGAAGTGCCGGTTTCAGTGTCTTGAACATGTATCGCACAGAATTCCACTTTATACTCTATTTCCCGGAGCTGAAACTAGTTGAAAAAAGCTGATGGTCAGTTTGCAACTCGATGTCGGAGTACGAAAGAGAGCCGTCCACAACTAGTATTCGTCGATCCTTCACGACTCCATAGTTCGAGTCCTGGGGACAGTGGCTTGGGATATTATACACGGATCAGAGTAGAAGCCGGTAGCGGTCCTGCCTTAGTCTGCTAGAAGAACATCCCCAACTGAAATAATCTATTCTGGTTGTATTCTTCTTGACTGAACTGTTTCACCGACCACTTATTTTAACTAATTAATTCTTTCTTATCATACACACCATCATTTCTTCCTGTCACGCACACTGTGACTAATGCACATTTATTTTGGCGCCTCTTTTTAACAAAAATGACGAATATAAATAAATAATGATGATCACACTTTACAATCTACACAGTGGGACGCACCGGCCAGAAATATGTAGTCTGTCGCAACTAGTTCAACAGAATAAAGTCCACAGCCCGACCAGCCAACTTTACATTATATTGTACGCCAAATATCAATATTACCCATGCTTCGGTTTCATCACACAATTAGTAACTTCTAAAATATCTGCCATTGTGTATTACTGACAAACCTACGTGTTTTCATATGAGTAGGTCATGTGCAACAGTAGTAAAGTGATATATAGAGAAATACCGCTCACCGTACTTGCCATTTGACAAAATTCTTGCCCGCACAGTTTTGGGAAAGAACAGGTGAGCCTTCTGTGCCACCAGCCGCAAACGCGACGTGGTTGAAAAAATCACCAAGAAAAATGGGTAGTTAACGAGCTCGACCACCTCACTCCATATGCTTAGAAATGTCACTGGATTGCACCAGTCTCGGAAATTCACTTTGCGTCTGCAGTTAAAAAAACATTCCTGAGTTATTATACAGACCACTCAGAGGACTGTTTTATTAGTGTTTTCAGTAAACAGAACAACCCTTATACTCGAAGTGAACAAATGGATCTCTAGGCAGAGGGTGAGTTCCTGGAATTTCGTGGCTAAAGTTGCTGGAAATATATCTATAACAAAAGAAACAAACAGGGGAAGTAGAAGAGCACTTACACCCGATAGTTGACGAAGCCAACGACGATAGCAGTTTTCAATGAGCTCAAACTAGAGCGGTGTTCCAGAAGAGGATCTCTTGTAAAATGATAAACATTATTTTCCTCAATTACTGAGTGCACTATGATCTCTTTTGATAGACAGAGTAGAATACTTTTCCAACACTATCCCGACAAATATCTACGTCTTCCTACGTTCCAGAACCCACTGAAGGGTATATACTGCCGACAAACCTGCGGACAGCACTGAAAACTGCTATGTTGTGATTGATTGTCCAGTCGAGCAGAGTGGTCACTTTTTCAGGAAGGAGACATGAACGACGCATTTATTTGTAACTTTACTGTCCTTGCTTCTATTGTAGAGATAAACTGAAGAAATGCATGTGGTTTTTCGACATTTCAGTTATATATCTTTAGGAAAACTAAACATGTTAGTGATATATTGCAGCAACCTTGTAGAAACGTATAACAATGATACCTACACTTCTACACTATGAAATGGTGACAATGTACGAGTTAACTCCGATGTGTTCGTTTTGTATAGTTTACATTATTTGGCGCAAATCATTATAGGTCCACTTATTCCAGTTTGAGCCATACTTTTTATAAGAACTAGTGATAGCATCCAGGTGACCAAATGGCAGTGGAGAGGTTCGAACGTATTATCTAATAGTTCAAGATTAGGTGCTTTCAGTACGAATCTACCACTAAGTGTCGGGCACAGACCATCCTGTTTGATAACAGCTCAAGTCAGAATACCGATTGTGGAAGTTAACTGCAGCAGACAAATAAGCAAGTGATTGAATCGCATATTTAAGTTTATGTAGATGATCAGCAAAGTTAACTAACCAATATGCATACAAATTCCGGTCCGGGACAACTTGTTTATTTCACACTTTACTAGACGAGTAGCAAACAAACAAGTTACAAGGACAAACGATGAAGACATCTGTGCCAATGAATCTTTACACCAAGCGGTACATTAGTTTTGACCGACTGATTAATCTTGATAAATTTTCATTGTTGTCAAAATCAGGTATTTGAAAACTGTCTAGAAGAGCATACCAATTCATACAACTGATATAACTTCCTAATTAAGATTACGAAGAAAATGTAATTGATTTCATGAAGTGAATTATTTGAATTCAGCTATTTCTATGACAAGTCAATAAGCTGAAACGCATAACATCAACAAGACTCACTACATTTAAGTATTTATTTGTCCTACGGAGTTAGAGGTACACAAACAATAACTTAAAAACAAACGGTCACAGTTGATTTTACTTCCTATCGCTCTTTAAAATTTAGTTATAATTCCTAACTTTATTCTTCGACATTAATTCTTCCTTACAAACTATTTTCCATGCTTCAATTTCCATCGATTTCAACATTGTTACATATACTATGCTTCTCATATGAATTTCTTGTTGTGATATCCAGTGTGGTAATTTAGACTGATACATATATGTACAAGGTCTTACGTTAATAACGACCGATCGACTTAAAAGTAACATGTCCTCCCGCCACAAAGTTGTCAGCCCAGATCACCTTGAAGCAAATCCTGAATGTCTACAAGTGGTAACAATGAGGAAAGCAGTACATATAGTTAAGTCACGTTGGTAAAACAATAAGAACCTGAAAATATAAGCCATTGCAAAGGTTGAACAGTGTGGAACGTGATAGTAATCTAATAAGGTGGACAGATAAACGCATGAGCTATAACCACGAGGTCACTTGTGCACATGTAGAACGTTATATAGCGGTACCTTCAGATAGTGATGCTCAGTGTCAATACACATAATGCCGGATCATCTCAAAATGATCATGACCTGAATTAAAAAATTGAAGTTTAATAGAGAGGACTAACTAGAAAACTATAGAATAAATGACTCAACTGGATGTCTGAGAAATCAGTTTAGATTTCGTTAAGCAAGTCAGTTTAAAAAACACACCTTCCAAAGTCTTATTGACAAGCGACTGAAGATTAAACAATTAATAGATCGTCCACATAACTATGGAAATACAAAGTGTGAGCCGAAGCTGAAAATCAAATACATTGAATGAGATGCATAATTAGAAAAAAAAACAAATAAAATCCAGTTAGCGGATGCGATCCGTACAAATGATCCAGATTAAAATTCCATTAACCTAGCACAGTCTATTCTGTTTCCCCACCTCAATAAAACGCTCCTCACTAATATCTTCCAGGTCATGTGCTTCCAAGGTGTGCTTGACCCCTTGGAACTGACACTTTATACAGCACATCGTGGACGCATACACCATATTTTTCAAAAGGCTTAAGTTCCTCGGGGTCCTAAACTCGTATAGACACAAACAAACAACGTACCACATAATAAAAAACAAGTCTGTAGTTTTATTGGGATATTCATAGTCATATACAACGTATCGACCATCTCCCAACTTCATTGCTTCAATCATATCGTTTCTGAAATCTTCGTACGTTGCCTCTAATGGTACCGGTGAAGAAATGTTATACCTTAATACTAACCTCTCTTAGCTTCTTTCAGAATGCGGACTTCTCCCCCTCCGTCGATGTGAAGCAAAACATAACGATGTTTTTTGTGCATTTTCAGATCATTGTAAGCAACGAGACATGATGAGTGACATTTTACGCCAGAATTCTACAATAAAACTGAAAATTAATACTATGTAACTATTTTTAGAAACAGAAAACCCCTAAGGAGATCAGAGACTGACCATTCTATGTCAGGTTTGAGGAATACCACGTTGCCCGCCTTTTTAGTAAATCGAATAGTACAAATGGTCAAATTGTTCATTTGATTCTAGACGGAACGGATAAGGCTTTCGCTTAACAGGATTCTGTATTTAGTATATATAACAATAAAAGAGAAAACCATTGGTAAATTTTAATGAGATACTGTCTTTAGTCTGTAAGAATATGACAGGTTTTCTCTTAAAGGACTCCTGTGGACTCGCATGAACCACCTCAGGTGGCAGCGAATTTTGGAGTCCGATAACTTTAGAAGAGTAAAAGGTGTACCTGCAGTCCATCCTGCTATGTCGTGCCTTTAATTACTGAGTTTCATCCCAAGGTTTATGGTGAGAATGAGCTTAAGTGGGTGTTAAAGAGGGTATCGAGGAGTGTTTGGGATGCTAAAAGTTAATGGGAGGTCACTTCTCAGATGCCTACACCCTAACGAATAAAATTCCATTGACCTGACGCGCTCCTCATAAGGTTTGACTTTGAGTCCCTGGACTGATTTCGTGGCTCGCCTTTGTATACGTTTCAGTGTATTGTTATCCCATTGGACCGATGGAGGAAACAGTATATATCCATAGTTTAAATGGGGTCCAACAAAACTTCTGAAGATTGAGTGGAACTTTCTACCGTCGAACCGGCCAGAAATGATGTTTAGCGTCACCAATGCAAGTTTTGGTCAAGAGGCATTTTTTATCGCAGTTAGCGTAAGAATTTAAAATCATATGATACCCAGACTCCTAGCTCTTTTTCATCTTGAGATACTTAAGATGTAAGCGTAGTCTGCAACATATCTCATACGGACTGCTTTACACCGTGAACTGTTGAAATTAAGACTGTTTTTATCAACACAACTTTGAAGTCGAGTCAGGTCTTCCTGAAGTGTCAGCCTATCACCTTGTTTGGAAACTTCTCTCCAGAGTTTCACATCATTAGAGAAAAGTAATAAATCAGACGATACTTGCATTAGATAATTTACGTAATCAGTATCCAAATTACAATGTCTTTGTCACAAGCTTGTATAAACCAATAGATTTCTTTGTTTTTTTCGGTATGATTTCAGGTACCCGGTAATGTTTCATGGGAGGTAGTTTAGACACTCGACTGAACTAATTCTAGTCAGTGTGGCAGTTATATATAGATTCGTGTGTTTGTAGTTGAGTGAGTGCGTTTATCTCAGGAGAGTAGGGTTACTGGATACCACAGTTACTATATTACAAAGCAAGGAGTTGGCTGGTTGGTTGCAATGCGAAAATAAAGTGATAATTCAAGTGCTAAGTAAAGACGATCATTTCAATAAACTAAAAATAAATAATTCAACTAATTGGTAATCATTAAGAAGACGGAATCAAAAGGGCAAGAACGTAATGGAGATAATAATAAAAAAGTCGAGAAATAGTTATCGATATGTGGTAATGATAACCGTAGTAATTTATGAGACACGAATCAGACACAGTTGGTCTGAGAGAGAGATGGTAATCCATGAGTGAGTACGTGTTTGTAAAGTTTCCCCTAACACTATCCACTAAAGGAGTTGTGGCCATTTCGGCAGGAAAGCATTCCAAACGATGGTATTTCGTAAGGAGAAAAAGTGAGAGAGTAGCTGGGTGCTCGCTCTTTGGTGTGCAACCTTTTGAGGGTTGCCTCAGGAGCGTGGTGACTATGTTCTGATAGTATGCTCGAATTGGAGTGGTTTAGCAAACCTGATATGTTGTGTGTCATTATCAGATCACCCCTTACGCTCCAGTAGCTCAGCGAGAACAACCCCAAGTGTCAGAGTTTGTCCTTGTAAAATTCATGTTTTAGGCTTGTTGCCCAATCGGCTGCTCGTCTTTGTACCTGATCTAGGAGATTTGTGTCTCTTTTGTGGATTTCAAGGTTGTGGCACGCAAACGTTTTGAACAATGCTGGGAACAACTTTGAGATGGTTGCGCCGTTGTCTTCACATAAAGGGAAATATTGCGATTGCTTTGGCTGCATACCCTCTGTAATTAGCTCTGGTGACCTGGTTCTTTGTGATTACAAACCCGAACTCACTCTATCAAGGAAAAATGAGAGCAGATCTCCATGGAGGACGTTAGTGGTTTGCATCAAATGAGGCAGAGTGTTAGTATAACGACTTCTTGACATGTTAAATTTTAATCTATTTTCTACTGCTCATTCCTCCCTTTCTTTGAGGCCTTTTTTGAACCTCAAGTTAATCCCTTACGTTTTTCATAAACCACTAGATCTTTGTATATTCCCTATAGATTGGTGCAGTCAAGCTAATTTTATCTTACAGATAGTTCATGAAGATCATGAAAACGAGAGAACCCAAGATTGTTCCATGTGAAACTCCTGATGTTAAAACGTTCTAGCTAGCGAACACTTTATTTAACTTGGTACGAAGCATGTAGATCTCTGCGTAGTTTCGGATCCAGGATAAGAGTGGGCAAGTGAAACTCATCTTTGCAACTTTTTCTACGGGAAGTACATGGGATATGGTGTCGAAGGGTTTTGCAAAATAGAGGGATATTACATGAGCCAGTATCATGTGATTCCAGCAGGTCGTTCAGCTTCCCCATACAATGAGGAGATTGGATGCACATGACCTGCCTTTCCTGAACTCCTGTCGAGCTTCGTGAACGATACTGCTTTTATCCAAACATTCTCTCATATTTTCATCCTTCCATTACCTTCGAGAATATTAGGAGTAATGAGACTGGTCTCTCACAAGCTGGGTTTCGTCTCTCTCCGTTTGAAGATTGGAGTGAGAGTACCTTGCTTCCACAAAGTTAGCATTAAAAGTATTCACTATCTCTAAGTTAGTAAGATTTCTCCACTTGGTTCCTTAAAAGTGCCGATCGATTGGTTTGTGAACTTTCTCCTCGTCATGAATCCGCGGAGATGTTTGAGGTTAGCTCGCATTTCGGCTGCTGGATTAGCATGAAGACACCACCTAACCCTACAGACTTTGGCGTTACATCTGTATCTTAACGCCTAATAACAGTTACAGTCAGAATCCTTCAGGGGAACTTTCCACTCGTATCAGGGTGCCTTTTTTGCCTGCAATAATTGTTGTCTGACTCGCCTAACCCAAAATCTTTCATATCCAAGTGTGCACCTCTCTTGAAGTACGTTGTTTAGAGTGGAATTTCGAAAGACATCCCTCACTACCTCCTGGTGGTCATCCACTGTTTGTATCCACCACTATCATCGTTAGGTGACATTTTAGAGATGCTCGCTCGTGGTAGCTTGACCTGTTTCGATGTAGCTAGGGTTAAGAGTGTCCCCGCTTCAATGCGATATCCCGCTAGTGACCAGGTTATATATGACAGCACCATGTCCACTACTTATTACAGATGGGTGAACAACAACATTCTCAACTAGAAGCTGATCAGTTGTTAACAAATAATTAAAGTCTGTAGATTTTCTGTCCTCATCCCATCCCCTGGCGCAAGCGACATATCCAGTCATCCCTGAAATTTTAATGGCTGCACCAAGCCAACTATAGAACCGCACTGTAGAGGCCGTATCCTGCTTCCTGAGATGTGGGGATGGAGTGTTTTCTGACCTTCTAGCAGCAACTCTCATGGCCCATGAATATTCGTTTATAATGTGGATCTGAGAAAATCGTTTAGCCGATGGTCTTTGAGATGTCAGTAGTGTTTCTTTTGTAACATATACTGAGTCTAGAGTTATTTTTAATGGGAGGGTTTTAGGTTTCGCTATGTTTTGACACTTCTGCAGGCGGCATATCAAAGAACTCCCACCTTCTAGTAGGCCACTCACCAACATTGGAACATTAAATAAAACCAAGTTCTGTCTAATATCTTTGCACCCTGATGTGAACAGAGAAACAGAGTAGCCATGACAAATAACGAAAGCTATTTTTGGGAACGTTATTTCACTTAAGTCTAAGTGTGTAGAACACTAACATTTACTTATGTCTCTAGTTTATTCTCCAAACCATAATCTTTCACTTTGTGTATGGTTCACTGCCATACTTTTTTGTTCCAAAGCTGATGTAATTTAAATGTAGTCTGTGGTACTCTATTCTCGTACCCCAATGCCTAGTTCTGGACATAATTCTGTATCGGTTTCCCTTCACAATGCCTACTCACTACTCCACAATGTTAACAGATACTGGAATTTTCGTGTATGCGCTCGGGCTGTGGCTCCGAAATTCGTGTGTTCAGTTGAGTGTATGTTTGACAGTTTGGTTATACTTTTACGGACTGATATGTTTGCTTACAATGGGGTCTCGTAATTCTCACTTTTTAGTCCCATCTTTTTTTTCTACGCTGTGGACAAACATACCAGAACTACAAACAAGGTTGACTTAACATGAACACGTAATACTGCCTAGTTACTGCGTCATCACAGTGACAGCAAACCCAAGGACTATAGAAATTACGTTCAAGTGCTGTCACGCGATTTGATAAGCGATGAGCATGCGATGCACTTATCATTTTTGTGTCATTTACTCCCCCTGAAGGCTGCATTACGGACAGTTTAGGACAACCCTTTTATCCTAGCTCGATTTGGCTCACTAGTCCTACTGAGAGTAGAAATCTGAAAAAGGCTGTGTGTTGTGTCAAAGCTTTTGCTACTATTTATAACTTATGACCCTAGGTAACGATGGAACCAAACTTTAATCCAATCACCAAGGTTTATTCGCAAATTACAAATAATCAACCCAAATGTCGATCTCATAATAAATATAACAATTACAAAACAAACCTTCAGTTTCTTAGGTTCCCGGAGCAAAATCACCCAAATATCAAACCGAAGACAAAGAGAAACCAAAATGTGTGAAGACAAAGATATCAACACACAAATTCGGGAGTTCATCAGAACAAATACATCCGAAAACACCACGGAAATAGAAAATTTTCAGCACAATATCTTTTAATCAGTCAAAAAATTTCATTTCTCCCACAACAGTATGATCCTGACCAATTAGGTGGAGACCCAGTCCTGATGTTTAGGTCTAGTGGTC